TGTGTGTGTATACACACACACACACACACACACACACACACATCATAATTAATAGAAAGTATATAGAATTTTTTCAAATAGTTAATATAACTTGCTAATAGGAAGTTATACCACTAGTTTGAAGGTACTAACATGACTTAAACTGAATGTTACTGTATATAGGAATACTGGGATTAAAAATAGTAAACTGGAGTGAATCCAGGCAGCGGTGTGTGTGCTCTCCTCACCTTATCCTGGGGGAACACTTTGTCCCTTTTCTGCCAAGTCATGTAATGGACTCCCCTCAGTCGGGCCAGATCACGGTAGCAGCTCTCATCTTGACAGTTATACCTGTGGAATACAGAAAGAGGGATGTTTTATGTCCCAAACTTAGCAGGCGGTGGCCCACAAAGCCTCCACAGACTCCATTTGATGGATAACTGTTTAATTAGGCTGTATTTCATTGTCACACACATACAGACACAGTCAGATGCTTCCCTCCTCCGTAACACACATTAAGAAGTACATCGTACAGCACAGAAGCTTGACTGCATCCACTTGAGTATTTGGTGGATGTATAACACGACATGAGTGTCAGACGCACAGATGAACACTGGGGAATATGTCTTAACACGTGCAGATAGGTGTCGAGGAAAAACAGCGCTCTGAAGCCAATCGTGATGTATTCATTTATCAGTAGAGAAACAGAAAGACACTTTTCTAAAGTGCAAGGATGCAACCAAATGTTCACAAATGATGGTTGTCAGAGGGGGGGTCTAATGATAAAATTGTAAGAATCAGTCACTGGAAAACCTTCATCGATCGCCCACTTTGCTGTTTCTGCTGTTCTTTGAAGAGTCATTGGGAATAAACGTTTGGTGTCAGTAAGTTTTTTTTTTTTTTATTCGGCAAGGACACATTAAATTGATCAAAAGTGACAGTAAATGTTATAATGTTACAAAAGATTTCTATTTTAAATAAATGCTGTTCTTCTGACATTTCTATTCATTAACCTGAAAAAAACCCCGCTTCATGGTTTCCACAAAACTATTAAACAGCACAACTGTTTTCAACATTAATAATAATAAGAAGAAATGTGTCTTTAGCAGCAGAACAGCAAATCAGCATATCAGAATGATTTCTGAAGGATCATGTGACACTGAAGTAATGATGCTGATGATTTTTACCAACCCAACATTTTTAACAGTAGTGAAAGTATATAGAAAAATTATTAGCAGGTATAGTACAATAATGAAGTCCTATAAGGCTGTGCATTATTATTGTTTTCTGTTGCTTTGTCATGATCACAACATCATTTTCTCAATATAAAAAAAGTGAATATAATAAAAGTAATAAAACTAAGTGATCTTGATTTTTATTTTTTTCTTGGTCTAAAGTTAACAAAAGACATAAGGATAAGCAACTCCATTTTTCCTCTTAGGACTGAAGTCCATCATGCTAATGCTTCTCACATTTGTCATGTATAATGCGAAATAGATGTTTAAGTTTCTATAAATAGTTTCTAACCTCAAAATATCCCGTTTGGTTGTGTTAATACAAACATGTTCAAAGTGTGACTTCAGAAATGGTATAAACATTATTTAAACACTGTAAACTGTAACTAATAACTGTTCATATGAACTCAGAGGGTTTTAAAGTGCCTTAGAAAAAGTGAAGAAGTATTTACATTCCTCAGACTGACAGTAGACAGTGTAGCTGTCCACACAGATCATATAGAAAGCAGAGAGATACAAAAGCCACGTACAATTCAAATATGACGGCCCAGTCGGGAAGAAAGAGGAGGTGGGTCAGTCCGGCTCCATGCATCCCAATGAAGATATCAGAGTGGTGTGTGACGCGGATCTGCTCCAGAAATGGCATCTCCCTACGAATACACATCAGCTTTCAATCACGCAAGCACCAAACTCGGCCTTCTCCAAAGATATCGATACATTTAAAACCAACATAGACTGAATCACGCACTTGTATTTGTAATCCACCAGCTTGACCTCGAATAAAGGCACAGTCTTCAAGGCATTGATAAGCTGCACACACACACACACAGTGGGGATTCAGAGGGTGATTAACGAGACCTCACACTCATGTGGACAGAGGCCAAGTAAATCAAGGCTTTTTACCAATCAGGGGTTCTCCAGCAAATAAGAGTTTAAATGGGCAGTTACGGAAGCAGAGTGATAAATCAATGATGAGCAAAGAGAGAGAGAGCACTCACCTCCTGCTGGTTTATTATCCTACGGTACTCAGTGCTTCTTGCCAACAGTGTGACACGGACTTGGCCCTCCTGACAGAGCAGGAGGACATCACAGATTTCATACATATTTCAACACACATTTGTATCTTAATATGAATATATAAGCTATATATATTTTATAACATCTATAATCCAGTTTCAGATATAGGAATGTATTATTTAAACCTTTAATTAGGAGGGGAAAGAGAAAGTAAATGTGCGGAAAGAAAGAACCCGGCCTTATTGACAAGCACAAAGACAATAAAAGAATAAGTTGTCCAACACCGCCATCTAGTGGCAGATAGTTTAATCATATCAATAACTTAAAGTACGTCATATTACTACATTATAATTTATATGACATTAATCTAAACATTACTGCAAATCAACCTATTTAAAAGTTGGTGGCAAAAACTTTTGAATTTATACCTAATAAAAATATATTATAATATAATAATTATTTAAGTTATAATAATTTAAATGTATATTTAAAATGGAATAAAAATAACATATCATGTAATAATTATTAAAATGTATAAGTACAATTAATCTAATATAACGTTATTATTTATTTAGAAGTATGAGTTCAAATCAATTTAATATTTAAATAAAAATAAATAATATAAACATGAAATTATAATTTAATAATTTATTTAAATTGACTAAATTAATTTAATATAAAATTAATGTATACATAATAATACTACTACTAATAATAATAATAATAACAATACATTTTAATTTAATTATTCTTTATTTAAAATTATATAAATAAAAAATATATACTTTTTTGTGAAGGTGAAATCAATGTGTTTATGTCAGGAGGATGAGATGGTTGAGTTTATATATTTTATTATTTCATTCAGAGAGTATGACTGTTTCTCAATGCTACTATGAGAATACAGGGATCAAATCATGATCTGTATTTGTGTGTGTGTGGATTCAAGCATGTTTACCTTTGGTCCATCTTGTGAGACACCAAGTCGATAAAGTACATGCTGGGAAAACGCCTTGAACAGCCCCTCGCTGTGGCAGTCACAGATCTATCAAATTACACACACACACACACACACATCTGTCAGTTAAATCTTCTCTATATGTCATTTGCACACAGAGGGCAGAGGCACACAATCATTAATATGAGGATGATTTGAGCGACAGCACCAGATGAGTTCAGTCTCACACAAGGCAAATGTTCTATATCACACACACAGCATCCACCGATGTCACGCAGAGACGCATTAACATAGACAAATGACAGCAGATGAACATGATGAGATGAACAAATGCTAAATGGGGGGGAAAAGAAACAAATGAGAGGTGTGTAGGATACGTACAAGAGGAGTGTTGTAGAAAAGGCCATATCGCATTCTTGGAAGGAGTGAGAAAAACGCATCGTCTCTGAAACACACCTGTGAACAACGCACTTTTAAATAAACACTCAGATGCTGAGAAAAATGTGAAGTGATATGGAGCAAATGCCTTTTACCCTTTTGGAGTCAAAGTTTTTGAGGTGAATAATGTCATAATCGGTAAAAGCCTGCCACGTTTCCCTGAACAGGTCGCCATATCCATACAAACTCTGATAGATAAAACAACAAAATAAATGAGAGTTCAAACAGCTGATAAATATGCAGTGATCACAATAATCCACAGGTGATCAAAATGACTCAGGTCCATCAATTAACATCTTGTGAAGTGAAAAGCTGTGCGTTTGTAAGAAACAAATTTATCATTAAGAAGCCCATAATTAATAAAAAGAAAAACATATCCTCCAGTAAAAAAGTCCATCCCCTGTTGTCCTTTCACATCAAAATCTACCAACATATTTGCTTAAAATCATTTTGGACTGTTTTCTCTTGTAAACGCTGCTTGGTCTGTGCATATTTCTCTCCTAAGTCAGACGAGGAACGGTTTGAAGTAAAAAAATTCTTAATGAAGGATTTGTTTATTTAAAACCCACTATTTTTCACTTCACAAGACATGATGGACTGGAGTCGTGTGGATTACTTGTTGAAGTTTTTATCAGCTGTTTGGACTCTCATTCTGACGGCACCCATTCGCTGCAGAGGATCCATTGGTGAGCAAGTGATGCAATGCTACATTTTCTCCAAATCTGTTATGATGAACAAACAAACTCATCTACATCTTGGTTGGCCTGTGGATGCGTGCATTTTCAGCATATTTTCATTTTTGGTTTAATTATTCCTATTTTTGGAATATATTTTTTATTAATTGTAATTTTAAATGTTAACTTAATTAGAAATTTCTTTTTTTTAAATCTTTTCAAAATAGAAAGTTTAAAAGAACGACATTTATTTGAAATATAAATCTTATAAATGTCTTTACTGTAACTTTTAAACAATTTAATGTCTCCTTATGGAAGGGGGAAAAAAATGTATTTCTTGAAAAACAAAATAGTAGTAGTAGTAGTAGTAGTATATTTTTATTTAACACCATGTCAGCATCTTAGGCTATTTTCATGGCAAAAACAATTCAAAAAATACAAGTAAAAACAAATACAATAAAAACCAGCAAACAAACAAACGCAAGTTATATTACACAAGATTTTTTGAAAAACAAAATCTTACTGACCCCACACTTCTGAACAGTACTCTATGATAGCTTTATGAAACCAAATCTCATTCACATTTCTGCATATTCAAAATATTGGCCACTAGACAAATTCTAATCCTTTCATAATCTCTCTTCATCTTCTATTAAAACTACAATCTAACATGACCATTCAAAGTCTGGACACATGCAATATAATATTATGAAGCAGATTTATACATTTGCATTGTTTCATACAAAAAAAGTATCCTTCTTTCGCCACACCCCTCCATTCTTCCTTCTCTTCCTCACCCTTGAAATAACAGCATTTGAACAATAGGCAGGATAAGGTTTCCTCGTAAGTCACTTTATTTTAAGCCAACTGTTTCCTTTTTCTCTTTCTCTTTTAGGATCTGCACACCTCCTGAAACTGTGGCAGTCGGTTTAAACAACAAACCTTCTGTTACACTGTTTTCTAATACTGACAAGTAAGAAACATCTGTTTGTAAGAAATGCTCTCTGGTTGATTTACTGGAGGACATACTGGAAGCAAACAAAGTTTGTTTGTTTAAGAGAAATGAATACTTACTGTGTCCCACATGACAAGGTTTATGTCACAGCTGAAGGAATTGTTGAGGTGCTGAGAGATGTAGAGGTTGACAAAGTCACAGAAATGATGGTACATGTTCACTCCTGTAAAAGACAAGCAAAATATGCACTTTTTTTTTAAACCTTAGCACTTGTGAAGACTAAACAAAAAACTCTAAATAAAAAATTCCACAAAAATATCACCTGCATCCAGCTTCATGAAGACGGTTGGTCTGTCGATTATAACATCACAATGGCCATCATCCAGGGGGTGGAAGTCAAGCTCTGAGTATGTCTGCAGTTCAGCAAACCTGAGAGAGAAAAACACATAACTCACAAGTTGTATGGGCCATTTTTATGGCACTTTTTGGAAGTGGTAGCCAATGATCATGATCTATTATAGAGTTTCATGAACATTCTTCAAAATATATATTTTTTGGTGAACAACAAATGATTTCAGGTGAGTAAACGATGACAAAAAATTATTTTGGGGTAAACATCAGGAAATATTAGCACATATACTGTACATTATTAAAATGTTTGAGGATGGTAATTTTTTTGTTTGTTTTTGAAAGAAGCCTGATTTGCTCACCAAGACTGCATTTATTTAATCAGGAATACAGCAAAATTGTGAAATATTTTTACAATTTAAAAATAACTGTAACTTATATTTGTAACTTAACTTATGTATTTGAACATATTTTAAAATGTCATTTATTCCTGTGATGCAAAGCTGAATTTTCAGCATCATTACTTCAGTCTTCAGTGTCACGTGATCCTTCAGAAATCATTCTAATATGCTGATATGCTAATCAAGAAAAATGTCTTATTATCATCAATGTTGAAAACATTTGTGCTGCTTAATATTTCTGTGGAAACCATGGTATATATTTTCAGAAATGTAATGCATCCTTGCTGAATAAAATTATTAATGTATTTTTAAAAATCTTACTGACCCCATTTTTCAAAGTTTGTGTTATATATATACTAATATATATATATATATATATATATATAGTTTATCAATCTTAGTTCTTAAATGTTGTGTAACACAGGTAATGAAAATATTAACACAAAAACAACCATTAACTCTTTTTTTTAATTATTAATATTTTTTGGACATTAGTTATTTACCAAGACTGAAAAGGACTCTTGTGTGTCCCTTCTGCGGCTAGTGCTTTACTATTAAGGCTGCAGTGACCACCGATCTCACCCTGTTCCAGGAAATCCTCTTTATACCTGCAGTGACATAGAGGAAGAGAGATGGAGAGAAAGAAAGAAAAAAAGACAGCTCATTTAGACAGGAAATTCTCACAGTTCTGCCAAACAGAAAACAATATCAGAGTTTTGCATCAGCATTTTCCTTGACCTCAAACAACCCTAGAGGGGGTCCACTTACCTCTCATGACCTCTGCGGGGACTCCTCAAGTCCAGGTATAGGTTTATGGCCCTGCAGAACCGCATATGACTGGTGCACTTCAGAGAGGAATCGCCCTTAAATGTTCGTTTAAGGTATCTAACTATGTCCCCATAGATGAGTTTCTAAGTATTTAATGCAAATCATCTTCTTAGAAGTGAGCATATAGGGTCTCTAAAATAACACTTCTTGTCTCACTCTCAGCTCCACACACACATTTCATACATTTCCTGTTGTTCTTTTAGCTCATCAGAATAACTCAAGCATTCTGGTGAAGCACTCAGAGAGTCTAAAGAACACTCTTTAGTAGAGTAAAGCAAATAATAATACAATTTCCCCCACGTTTCTAATTCTTATACAAACATAACTGGGTAGCACTTCGCAATAAAGTTTTGAACAAAAACATAAAAATGCAGAACTGTTTTTAACATTGATAATAATAAGAAACGTTGAGCACCAAATCAGCATATTTACATTATTTCTGAAGGATCATGTGACACTGAAGACTAAAATAAATAATGGCTGCTGAAAATTCAGCTTTGCCATCACAGAAATAAATTAAATTTTTTAATATATTAGAATAGAAAACAGTTATTTTAAATCATAAAAATATTTCACAATTTAACTGTTTTTGCTGTATTTTTTGATCAAATAAATGCAGGCTTGGTAAGCATAAGAGACTAAAAAACATTCAAAAATCATACCAACATCTGAGGAATAGTGTAGGCAATATCTGCAAATACTGCTTGGTATTCACAACAAAATATAATTTCTGTCATCATTTAGTAACCTCATGTGATTCCAACCGTTTGTCGTCCACAAAAGGAGATATTTTGTAAAATGTTAATGCTCCACTTTTCCATACAATAAAAATCGACCGTGATCATTGGCTACAATCTCCAAAAAGTGTCCCATATACATTCTGATCACTTAAAGCTATTCAATAGCTTTGAGGGTGAGTAAATAGTAAGTAGATAGTGAGAAAATCTAAAAGTGTTTCAAAAATGTGACTTATTTGAGTAGGTCAGCAAAGAAAAGCATACCATCCCAAGTCAAGACTGGTGCACACAGGATAGCTGAACCTGTGCTCAGGGGAGCAGCTCTTTTCATAACCCCAGCAGGCCTTCTTGAGCAGCAGAGCATCCTGCCAGCCAACAGAGACACACAAAGCTAAGAGAACAACTCATTTATAAACATCTACAGCATATGCACAACACTAAATGTTAGTGATAAAGTCACAAGCAACAGATGCCAAAACGAACAGCCTCCATTGCCCCGTTTGAAAACTATTACAGTTGATGCACGACAATGTCCTTGGAGAATATCCCACTGATTTTTAAAGCAACTTCACCAGACATTCAATCAGAAACAAGAGAAAATGGCTTACTTTAAAAGGGCAAAGTGGGTCCTCCTTGCAGAGTTTGGCCAGTCATTTGTTGTTGTGCAGAAAGAAAGGAATATGCTGCTGTAGTCCAGCTGTGGTGTGCGGCTGCTGTCCTGCCTGCTGTCTGCGGCCGAGATGGTTTTATAAGTGCAGACCAGGCACAGAGCTACCAGCAGCAGCATAGTCCCTCAAGCCACATGGAAGGAACCACACTGGCTCTCAGCACCTACAATCATTTATGAGAAAGGCAGAGAGACAGAGAGAGAGAGAGAGAGAGAGAGCACAAGAGTGTTTAGAGAAAGAAAACGAATGCTTTACAGGGGAGGACAAACACCAAAGCTCTGGAAGTAACCATAGTGTGGGAACCTGCAAATGAACGTATCCTTCTCCATGTGGAACTCGTACCACAGGAAATATTAGTGACCTTTTTCCTTCAATTGTTCAAGCAATAAGGCCAGAATTGAGGGAAATTAATAGAAAAACAAGTACACATTCTGCTCATAGCTGATGCACAAGGACCGTGGGAATTACAGACATACTGTATATAAGTTATGACGGAAATGATGGGCATGTAATATGTTCACTGATCTGGGGTAATTTTGAAAGACAGCAGTGAGGATTTCTATATAAAATCATTATGAAATTCTAGTTTCTGACTATTAGATATATAAAAATGCTCTGTAAGATCATTAACTATTTTACTTATCCATAATGCCCAAATCTGTTATTATTTTTCATCAGCATTATCACAGCGTATCTGAATAGAATCAGCGAAAATAAATTCACTGCTCACAATTGATCACAGATCATTTCTTATTTACACACACATTTTAAGTTTTAAAATTGTTTCATTTCCCATTTTTATTTCAACCATTATTAACAACGTAATTTGTTGTATGTGGTTTTGTAACTTACCAGCAATTAACATTAAATTAATATCAAATAAAATGAAATGAAATACATACATACATAACATACATAAAAATAAAATCAAGCTGTAATTATCACTCAGCAAATGCTGGTTTGTAGTTATTGATAAACTTCATAAACTTTTTTTTTTTTTTACAATACAAAATCCAAAATGCCAAAATCACCACAGATATTTGATGTGTTGTAAACTTTTTTTATTATTAAACCTTTTTTCATTATAGATCAATTTTATATTAGATAATATTTGATCAAATAAAATTTGGCATATAGTTATAAATAGTTACCACAGCATAAACATAAGATTTCTGACTTTAAAAAGAAGTCATGGGACATGTGTAATGTGTCATTTACTAAAGTGATTTGTCAACCATTATAAATTAATATAGCCTACTGTTAGTAAATTAATAAAAACGAATATTTTCTCTTCTTAACTGATATTTAGTTTGACGCTATGGTGATTTTTTGCAAGAGAAAATTACTACATTCTTTGTGTTGCCTTGTAATTATGACAAAGTAATTACAGATTACATAATTATTAAAAACCTGTGGGGGGGGACACAACAACGGTGTGCAAATGCCACCAGAGAACTCCAAATGAACAATCTTTGCACAAATCACTATAGCAATCAAAGTTTACAATAAAACTCCTTATATACTTAACACAATGACAGAAAGATTCTGACAAACTTCTGGCATTAATTAAAAGAGATGCCTTGTTAATTACTTATGATTTACAGTAGTAACAATAGCTGGACTGTATGATTAGCACGCGATGTTGAGCTATTAGACTTGTAAAGTCAGTGTCTAAGGCGATCTGTCTAGACAGGGCAGATCAGTCAGATTAACAAAGACGCACTGTATTCAGATCCCATCCGCTTCATGGAGCAGCTCAATTACAAATCCTGCAGAAGAGTAAATGTACTTGATTTTAGACCTCTGAATTTCTGTAAGTTACATACATTGTAAAAGTTGGTGATACCATAATTTTTTTTTTTTTTGCGTAAAGGAAGCAGTCAAACTACAGAGCTGCGATAACTTAGCCAAATGCACCGATACACAACGATGCCAAAATAACACATAACAAAAATAATAATATTACAAACCAAGTCGGGAACCGCAGCAACCACAAAGACACGTTGCCAGGGTCAGGGGCCATCACAGCTGTCCCAGCATCAATTACTGTATATCAGCTGCCTTTTCTAACGCAAAACACACATGCCCAAAATGACTTACAGCAATTCTGAAAAAGTTACAGTGAAAAAAAGTCAGAGTGCTAACAAAAAAGTAATTACATGCTTACCTCCTTAGAGAAATTAAGAAGCGGCAGTGGGTGCATTTAGGGACGCAGTCGCCATACTACCGGAAACTATAAACCGGCATGCGTTACATTTAGGAAACGCAAGAGGGTGCAGGAGTAGATTCTAATTTTACACTGTTGATTATGCGATTATGTTCTGTAGACGTCCAAGAAGGCTCAGTAATGAATACTACTAATAATAATAATCGTTACAACTAAAAATACTTGATTAAAAAGTTTAAAAAAAAAAATAATAATTAAGCTGGAACACAAAGCAGAGCTTAATAATAATCATAATATATTTGTTACTATAAAATTAAAAAATATCTTTGTAATTATTAAACATTAAAACAATAAAGCTAGAAAACATTCAAGCAGATATTAATTATACTATATTCGTTGATATATATAATAACAACTGTAATAATAGTAATAATAGTAACATATTACCATATAAATAAAACAATCTTACAAAATAACTAACAAAGCTGAAAAACAAATTAAGCAAAGCAATGCAAAGAATAATAATATATTCATTACCATATAATTAAAAATAACATAATTGTTAAACATCAAAAACAATAAAGCTGGAAAACAAATTAAGGCAAAGGTTAATAATAATAATAATTACCATATAATTCAAAATATCTTCGAAATATATTACTAAACATTAAAACATTAATAAAGCAGGAAAACAAATCCAGTCTGTCCAATACATATCTCTTACTTTATTTACGTGTGCATAAAACTGACATCAGACAGTCTTTACTGTAATTTATGATTTACAGAGATCATATCTCATAGAATATGAGTTTTCCTGGACTCCCTCATCCTCCTCACTAAAACTCAATCAGCATGAGATGAGATAAAAAAAAATTTAAAAAAAAAGAGTGCAAAACTTGACTTTTAAAGTCTACTAAGGATGTGTGGTACTCATATTTACTTGTCTACGATGAAAAGAGACAGCCAACAGCAAATCAACTGCTTACCAGTAAGATGCGCAGTCCAGAGGATGAAGATCGGAGGAAAATATAGCCATTCATTCATTCTGATTATAATCCAATCGTGTAAAGACTGAACTCATAAAGTCTCCCTTCATTGTGCAAATTCAAGAGTTATGAAACCACCAAACCTAAACACCCATACACGAATAGATAATAATAGAATTTCTTAAACCAAACATGTTTATTAATTGAGAAAAAATAATTTCAAATAAAATCCCACAACCATGAGAGGAATCTTAAATAACTATATCACTGATCCTTGAAATATGTTGAACAAACTCTTCGCTCAGAATAAAATACATTTAAATTACTTGGTCTTGTATTACCAACACTCTTGAGATGTGAAGTTCTGTTTACAGTCAGTGTGTGTCAGTCCATTTGCGGAGTCAATTATTTTTGATTTTTTAATAGTTCATCTAATTGCGTTTTGTACATGTTCTTCACATCCTCTAGGTCCAGACGCAGCTCTTCTGCCTCCTCTGCCTTCTCTCCATACATCTGCAGAATTGTGTTGTGCCTCTGTTCTAGATCCTGTGATGAACACAAACATCTGATTAGTGTTTAACTAACAGAATAAAAGTCTTAATACCTATTAATGTGCTCGTTAGCAAACTGATCATCTAGCACGCTCTATGAAGGAATGGTGAAATTGTTTAAACAGGATGTAAAACTCAATTCATTTTGTCTATATTTACAGAGGGTACACTGTAATGGGGAACAATTTTAATAAACAAAATTTCTAGACACGTATTCGGCATGAAAAAAGAATTTAAACATTTACATTACCATTCAAAGTTTAGAAAATTGTATTCTTTCATTTAGCAAGGACACATTAAATTGATTTAAAAGAGACAGAAAGGTGACATTTTTAATGTTAAAAAGAATTCTATTTGAACCAAATGCTGTTCTTTTGATTTTGTTTCGTTGTGAACTTTCTGAAGGATCATGTGTCACTGAAGACTGGCGTTAGCAAACTGATCATCTAGCACGCTCTATGAAGGAATGGTGAAATTGTTTAAACAGGATGTAAAACTCAATTCATTTTGTCTATATTTACAGAGGGTACACTGTAATGGGGAACAATTTTAATAAACAAAATTTCTAGACACGTATTCGGCATGAAAAAAGAATTTAAACATTTACATTACCATTCAAAGTTTAGAAAATTGTATTCTTTCATTTAGCAAGGACACATTAAATTGATTTAAAAGAGACAGAAAGGTGACATTTTTAATGTTAAAAAGAATTCTATTTGAACCAAATGCTGTTCTTTTGATTTTGTTTCGTTGTGAACTTTCTGAAGGATCATGTGTCACTGAAGACTGGAGTAATGGCTGCTGAAAATTCAGCTTTCCCATCACAGGAATAAATCAAAACATTAAAAAATGAAAACCTCTCTCTTAAAATGTAATAATATTTAACAATATTTGTTTTTACTGTATTTTCTATCAAATAAATGTAGCCTCGATGAGCATAAAAAACCCCATAAACAATTATTTATATATTTTTAACTATTAAACACAAACACAACCTTCAGTTGCACTTTCAGTCTAGGGATTTCCTTCACTTTACTCTCCATCTCATCGTTCTGATTGGTCAGTCGCACCAGTTCTTCTGTCATGACAGTGCGGCTTCTCTCTAGACTAGCAATCTCCATCTTGAGGATGACCAAAAGAATTGAATACAAATTAGAACATTAATTCCACAACCAGTTATAAACCACAATCTGGTTATAAACATGGAAGATGTAATTGTACATAGAATTAATTCTAGTGAAAGACCAAGGCATACCTGCAGCTGGACAATCTCGCCCTCTCTGAGTTTGAGCTGAGACTGCAGGCTCTCAATGACACTGGATCCACCACCCAGTCGAGCCACCTCATATAGGTTAGTCCCACTGATGGACATGGTCATGGTGCTGAAAGAATGGTCAAGAGAATCCTCCTGCTAA